AATCAACTGTACTTGTATTATATTTTTAATAGTTAAACTGGACAAATATTAAAAAGTGTGTCAAACTAAGTGTGTAGCTACCCAAAAACATGATAAGTGTGTTTGGCTTGACTGTTAGGAGCAGTTGATAGCTATAACTATTAATTGATAACTAGAACTATTAATTGATAACTGATAGAATAACTAAGATTTATTATTAACTATTTAAAATCATTCTATAAACTAAAGTTTTCAAACACCCTAACTGACTATACACTAATAAAATTGGAAAATCAAACATATTTGTAGTATTTTGTGGGACCTTAACAATTGTTTGTGTGGCCATAACCATGGCCATGTTTAGGGTCTTGGTCTTTTTTTTTTTTTTTAATACATCGAATAATGAGTTATATATTATGAGATAGTCCTCCCTGTCACAAACCCCTCCCCACCCATTTTAGAATTCAAACTTGAGATCTCTAAAGTGGAGACTCAGATTCTTGATCATTGGTGCATCCCTAAGAGAGTGGTCTTTGTTGTTCATATCTAAGTTGTAAAGTCAAGGTCTTTCCTCTTTGCTGTCCACATGTATTGTAAGACTCATCTTTGGTCAATAGTTATAAAATATGTAGTGCGGTTATTTTTTGTTACAATGAAATGTAAGAATAGTCGTGGTCAGAATAATAAATTGTTAGAACAATTTATGGTAGTTCTTTTATTGTAGTCCCAAACCAAAAGGAAAATAAAATTTTATTTAATTTATAGTTTAACTACGGATTAGCTATTAGCACAACCACACAAGCCCTAGAATATTTGTTTCTTCATCTTTATGCATGCTCATGAGTGAGGTTTTAGAGGTTCTTTAGATTGTCTCCCACGTTGGTTCAATTATTCTATTCTAGATTTAAGATAAGAAGCAAAAAAAAAAGAAGAGCTTATGCAAAGTCAAAGTTCTTGACATAATTGCTATTCTCTTTCTTTTCCTTTTTCTTTTTTTTTTTTTCTTTTAACACTGGAGATTGACAACTATAAAGTATTGATGACTTTTCTAAATTAGTGGGTCATAACCATCTCCATCAATAATAGAGTACTTGTTCATGTTTAGTTAAAGTTGTAAGTCAAGGTCTTCCCTGTCCATAAAATGAAGTGCAAATGCTACAAGGGTGTCTTTGGTTTGACAAAAATGAAGGTAAGAGGGGAAGAAAGGAAGGACATGAATCTTTTATCAAATCAAATTACAAGGTTATCTAATATTATAATTTAATTAGACATTCCCCCCTCCCTGTGTTTCCTTGTCCCCTTCTCCCCTTAAGTTTTCTCAAACCAAACATCCTCTAAATGTTAACGTTAGATTACTATTATCCTCTTTTATAATACTAATAATTGTTTTTTACAGAAAAATTTATTCTAAATTAATTATGATCTTTCATTTTTTATATTTTAAGGTAAAAGAATATCTTTCATCTTATTTTAACATTATTATCCACTTTGTTAGTAATATTTCAATCTTTAGGAATATATATGTAAAAATATAAATTAACTACAAATTTTAATTTTGAAAAAAAATTAAATAAAATAACTATTACTATTATGAAATGGTTTTTCTTGTGTTCGAAAGGCACAAGTTAAGAGCCAATAAATTAAGTATATTTTCTTAAATTTAACAGTATTTTAATAAATACTCTTATTTATTTTAAAATAATTATCATTTTTGACTAAAAATGTATCCCGAAGTAATTATCATTAATTTCATTTTATAAGGTAGACAAATATTTTTTTTCTAACCCTATCATTCTCTTAACTTTAATTATTTATCATATTGGTAGAGTGAATAAAAATATTATAAATGGTTTTCAAATTCTTAAATTAAAGAAAAAGCTTAAAACAAAGTTATTATGAAACAAGAGAAATAACAACTAACAACGACTTATTTATTTATTTATTTGTCCCACTTTGAACCTGCACACTTAGAAATAATTGAGGGGAAAACAAAAATACAATAATTATTGTTTGAAACGCCATATTTCTCCTTAATAAAAGCTTTTTCTCTTTATTAATATGTTAGAATAATAGAAGGCCAAAAAAATATGTTAGAATAATATGTGAAAAACTTATTAACATTAACTACTAAAATTATATTGCTAATAACGACTAATTAAATAAAAATATTACTACTTATTTAATGAAATTCTAATGACTAATTAACTTTTTTTTTTTTTTTTGGTTCTAGACCAATTATTGAAATGCTAGCAAGTGCTGGGTAGGATTGGTGATGGTCTCGTCTGTTCCATTTTTCCTTGCTGAGAGTCCTGTAATTTAAACCAGATTACATTATTGAAATTTTTTTCCCATGAAAAAAATAAAATAAAATATTATTACTTGAAATGCAAATATATTTCCTAATATATAAGAAAAACTATTTATTAGTAATAACTAAAAATTAAATCCAGTCTTATCCAAAATGTGAGTAATTATGAGTGATGGTAAAAAAAAAAATTGTGACTAACAAGAAATAATTACAAATCATATATTACAAGTGAATTATTTTTTGATTCATAAGGATCGAATTGTAAGGGTTTTTAATTCAAATTAATGGATCAATGAAGGAGATAACGTGACAGGAAACAGATATGGTGGCGAACAAAAGGACCATGAATACCCACTTTTTAATGTTTTGAAGTTATTATTTATAACGAATTAATAAAAATTTTATATTTTCTTTTGAGAAAAATAAAAATTAGGACATTTTGGCATTTTAAATGCCGGGATCTCTTATAAAATTGTTTTTTGTATCCTTAATGCGTCTTTTTTGCATGTTAATTCATCAAAGGTATATTAGTCTTTTCATTATCATTCTTGACATTTTAAGTATTAATATGTCTTAATTTTCTTCAGTCCCTTATCTTTTTATTCATTTTCCAAATGAAATGAAGAAAAACAAATTAAGAAAAAAGGAAATATTTGTTGTGAAACTGCCAAGAAGAAATAGAAGCCCACCTAA